TGCTTAATGCCATGAGGGAGCCCGCCCCAGCAGTCTACAGAGAGGTCCTTTAGTGGAGGGGGAAAAAGTACATATGTCTCCATTTTTTACACTACAATCTTCTCCATTAGAATTCCTACAACAAATGTTACATTTTAGATTTTATATCATCAGTATTATAACTGGATTTACGAAAGTTAAATACCGTAGCAAAGCACGGGTATCAGGCTAGTGGGTAAATAAAAATTGGACATCAAATCTGTCAAGTGCTAAATAAAAAATAAATCCTGTGTACAGAAATAAGCATTATGCAAATCTGATGTATTTTACAATTTTGGTTAAAATCCTGACACACTGTGACAGATCCCCTTCAGTGCCCTGCATCTGGAAAAGAAAATGGGGAGAAGGCTAAGGCAGTTGCAATCCACTTGGTATTGCAACATACTCTATGGCAATGTTCCCTCTAAGCTGTGGGGTCTTGTGAGCAAAAATTCTACTTTGTGAGCTACTGGCATTAAAGTTGTGAGCAAGCAATATGGCTACTGCATAAATTCGCTTGCTCTGGAGCCATCCTTCCTGAGCTAAGACAAAAAATGTGTGAGCCGGAGGCTGAAAATTTGTGAGCTAGCTCACACTAACTCAGTTTAGAGGGAACACTGCTCTATGGTATTTCTTATATGGTATTTTAACAACAGTAGCTATAAAAAGAAACACTGCTTCTCAATTTTATTAAATACTCCTACTGTTAGCCAGATTATACAACTCAGTTGTTGGCAGTTGTCGTCTATTGAGTGTCTCGAGAAACAGTCTTCCATTTCACAAATTCAGAATTCATTGAAAGCTCTTGACATAGAACAACAGGCAGGTGGCAACCCTCCATGTTTCAAAGGCAGAAGATTAACCTGGCATACAATATGGTGACCTAACAGTTCTCCTTTTTCAAAGAAATCTGAAAAATAATCTCCAATACAGCCCTCAGTGCAAGAATAACCCAGTGGGATTTCCACCTCTTCATTTCCTAATGAGCTTTTTGATAATGAGAGGTGACTTTATCAGTCACTCTGGGCTCTATTATGGCTAATTTGACTCCACTTCACTCTCCATGTTAATTATTAACACTAGCCTTTTTATCCTCATGAGAACCCAATCCAGGGTTCTTCTTTTTTTTCAGATTTATACAAGGGTCTCATTCTCTCTTTTTCTAAAAGAGCCAAAAGTCTTCAGTGATAGATTTGTCCTTAACAGTTGAGCTCTCAATTCTCATTAGTCATTACAAGAAGACCCAGTGACATCAATATTATAAGCATGGGGTGTTCTCTCTGAGGGTCTTAATGTGCTAACTCTGTGAAAGGGTTGTTAATTAAAGATTAAGCATCACGTGGTATGTTTCATTTGGGAATCGGATCCTTGTTGAATGGTCATTTGCCACTTGCTTGCATCCTTAAGAGACAAAAGGGTTACCAGGAAACCTAAATGTTTGCTCTTCAATAGTGAGGAAAGAAAAGATCCCCCTCAATTTTCCAAGCAGCTTCCCTATATTTTTAAAAAAAATCTTACTTGCATCAATCCCATCTCTTATAACCAGGGCTTTTTTTGTAGAAAAAGGCCAGCAGGAACACATTAGCATAATAGGCCACACCCAATGGCAGAAAATCATTAGCCTATTAGGCCACACCCTGACAGTGCAGCGCATTAGTATATTAGGCCACATCCCATACCTTCCCTTGGCTTGCTTGGGTGTCCCGTGGCTGCGGGGAGCCTGGGAAGGCACAGGGAGGCGTTTAAATGCCTCCCCAATCCTTCCAGGGGGCCCCCTGGCCCGCCCGCCTCGGAGTCACTGGGGGGGTTGCTCTCCAGGCCTTCCCTCTGTAGCCACGCATACACAGAGGTTTTGCTGTAGGCGTGGCCAACTCGGAAGCCAGCCAGAACTCCGTTCCTATGTATTCCTGCCCAAAAATAGCCCTGCTTATGACAGCATTTGTGGAATTCCAAAATGGCTCCCCTTGCCAGAAAATATCATGCCAACTACCTTTTTTAGAACAATGGTAGAACACACTACACAGCTTTGAACACCTGCTGCTTAGGAACTAGTTACATGTAGGGGTGTGCAAAAAAACCCAACTTGGTATTTTCCAGGTTTGGTTATATTGAACCAAAAAAATATTATCTCCCAAATTTTAGAATTCTAATATCAGTATGGTATTCAGATTCAGCAAATTCAAATATTTTTGGCTCCATTATACCCTAGGGGAACCATTATAGTCTATGGTCCCCATAGGCTATAGTGGAGAATCAATCCTGGGGTATCTGGGACTTGGGGGGGCTGTTTTATAAGGTAGAGACACTAAATTTTAGCATAGCTGCTGGTGCCTCTTCTTAAAAAACCCCAAGTCTCAAAAAGATTGGACCGGGGGTCCAATTCTGTGGGCCCCAAAGAAGGTGCCCCCATCCTCCAGTGAAATCAATGGAGGAAAAAGGGCATTTAAAGATATCACAGTCCCTTTAAATGCCTTCTGCAAGCTGCGCAACTCCATGGCTTGGAAAACACTGAAGGCATTTAAAGGATTCTCAGTGCCTTTCAGCAACCTTCTGGGTGAACTAACCAGCCCAGGATCAGCCGGGGCGGCAGGAGCTCTCAGCTCCACACTGCCCCAGCTGATCCTGTCTTGCAGCTCGGTGCTGAAAGAGAAGATCAACTGGGGTGGCATGGAGCTGTCAGCTCCAGCTGCCCCTGACTGATCCTGGGCTGGCTTCTCTTGCAGCTTGGTTTAAACTGAGCTGCTAGTGGAGCCAGCCACCCCAGCTGAGGTGGAGTGGAGCTGTTAAGTCTGCGCGGCCTTGGCTGGGGCTGACTCATGGTGTAGCTGAGAGACCAAAATAAAAACTGAAAAAAATTAACTTTTTTCAGGCTCAGCTATACAGATCTCTGATTGGTACTCAGCTTAAATAATACCCGACAAATACCAATAAAATATTTTCCAGGTATTTTTCCAGTTTGGTTTATGCTGAATGCACACCCCTAGTTACATGTTATACACAAATACATGCAAAAGAATCCTAATGTTTCCCCCCTCCCCTGATGTTTGGAGAGATTATAGTGCCAACTTCCAGGTGGGGCCTGGAGGTCTCCCAGAATTACAACTGATCTCTAGACTACAGAGATCAGTTCTCCTGGAAGAAATGGCAGCTTCAGAGTGCAAGCTCAGTGGTATACCACTACATAAAGCCCCTCCCCAAACCCCACCCTCCCCAGGCACCACCACCAAATCTCCAAGAATTTCCCAGGCTGGAGCTGGCAATCCTAGGGTAGATGAAGTTGCAGTGGTGGGGTACAGAACAATTTTTTCCATAGCATCTACTTCCCTGCTCCGAGCCCTCCTCAATGTTCTTTCTTTTTTTAAGTGCCAGGGCTCTAATATATGTAAATTGAACATGATACACAGTTTGCCTCCTAAACTTAAGTGTTTCAGGTTCCCTTGGCAGCACTTTACAGTGTTGCTCATAATTACTTCATTATGAAAACGTGTTGTGCCTCATTTTAAGAGTGTCTTCCTTTCTTGAAAGTGTTTCTTTGTAATTATTTAAAGTAATTATCTATTAAATTGAGAGAAGGGAAAGGCGGGGGGGATATACGTTCAAGCCTTACAGTTAATCTTTTGTAAGTAACAAATACGGTGCAACAATGCCCATATTTCTGTTTTAATATCAAATAACCTGTGCAGTATTGCATGTAGTGGCCTAAATATTGAATACTCTGCCTCAGAGTACTAAATCAATATTCAGTGGCAGAACAACACAAAGTATGGCTTGGACTTTCCTACTTTCAGCCTCTGAACAGTTTGCATTCTTTAATAACTGATAAATGACATGATCTATGGTGTACTGAGTCAGAGTCTAATGCTGCATCCAGATGTCAAAACAAACAAACCTCTGTTTGTCCATGACAAGAAACCAGGAAGTCCTTGGGCCTATGTACCTGCCTTCCCCCACCATGTTATGCAGCTAAGAAATCAAATAAATCCTGGTTTGGAAAAGTTGCTGTTTATTGCAGCCAATGAACTGGGCAAAACAACAAACCATAGCTTGTTCTCTCGTACACACTATGCTTAAATTGTGGCTTATAATCTGATTTATAGAGAGGCAAAAACCACAACTTGTAGTTTTGTCTCAGCCTTCCAAACCAGGAAGTCTCTAATTTTCAAGCCATACATCAGGGGAGGTGAAAGAAACATGTGATACACAAGACCAAAGACTCCATCTGAATGGAGCTGAGAAATGCTGTGTTGCAAAGAACTCAAGTTAAATCAGCATGGGAAGCAAATAAAGGTCAAAGCGCTTTTATACCGAGATGGGCTTGACTTTTTAATTTCCCCCGCTCTGGAATATTCAGTACTGAGTTTCTAGGACATGAAGTGGTTTAATCCCATATAGGGGGTGTGCAAAAACACACACACGGTACTTTTTGGGTTCAAGTATACTGAATCCGAAAAATATCAGTGTTTCCAATTATTCCTGAATCCCAATACCAGTATGGTATGGTAACTCCAGGTGGGAAATTCCTGGAGATGTGAGGGATGGAGCCTGGAGAGGGTGAGGTTTCAGGAGGCGTGGGACCTCGGACAGGTACAAAGCCATAGACTCCACCCTCCAAGTCAACCATTCCCTTCTGGGGAACCATTGTTGCCAATCTCCAGGTGAGGGCTGGAGATCACTCAAAATTACAAGTGTTCTTTAGGTAGCAGAGATCAGTTTCTCTGGAGAAAATGGTGGACTCAGTGTCATTATACCCTGCTGAGGTCGCCACAGCAAATTAACACTGAGTGGCCAAGGCCGGAGCACCCGCCCAGAGCCTCTTTCTAGAGGCCGTTGTATTTATTTCCACAACGAGCCTTTTCCCTAGTATATTAAATAAAGATATTTCTTTCAGTTTCTAATCCAGCTCATCTTGGAAGCTAAGCATGGTTAACATTGAAAGGCAGGAACAATAAAAAACCAAACCAACAAAATTTGGAAAAGCTTACAGTCATTTCTTAGGAAGTTATTTAGCAGCTGGAAGAGAGGAAAACTATCCCAGGAGTCTGGTGGCTGGGCTTCCAGTGCTGAATCCATGTCAACCGTAAAGAGGGACCAGAATTTCTCTGCATGTTCAGCCAACAAATCTGGCCACCAAGCAAATGCCTGCATCATAATTCAGAAACAATTTTTGTAAAACAGTGTGTAAATGAAAAATATTTCAACTTGTATTCTCTTCCATACACAATTACATAAAACAGAAATAAATAAATGCATCTTCACTTAGCTATAGCAAGGGTGTGTATACGCTGCACTTCAAAATTAAAAAATGCAGTACTTTGAAAACCCAAATTTTGCAAACAAAGTTCCTTTTAATTGAGTTGGATAGATTGATTCAACAACGGTGGGTCTCCCCCATTTAAAACAAAGAAAGGTCTTTTCAAACACCTATTAACTGAATTGCCAGGGCCTGAACTAGGGACCATGTGTAGCTGCCATTCTACCACTGATCATGTGCAAATAAGTAAATGTGTATATATTTTCATGTACTTACTTAGATAGAATTCATCATGCTAGTCAAGGAGAAAGACAAAGACCTAAAGAGGGAACTGGATCTGTGTTCCTGGGGAAATCCCCTCTCTTCTCTCAGCACCTTCTACTCTTCTACAATGTCACCCAATATCTTTGTACACATCTTTACACATTTATGGATTAGAAATATTAGAAATTGAGATTACTATATCTGTTACCAAATTCTGCTCTTGCACATACTCATAGAAAACGTATCTTTTCTGGGCAACAGCATATCAGCACAAATGGACACACTCTGCTCTGACTAAAGCATGAGGAATGACAGCACAATGCTTCTCTGTCAAGAGGCTCAAGATGGCACAAGGCAATGTTGTGCTGATATTCTTCCAACAATGCTAACAACTATGGCGGCACAATGCCATGTCCATCTCTCACTGCAGTATGGATTGGATAATCACTGGAGTAGTGAAAGCATAGCCCTGAAAAATGTGGCATCTCCATCAGCACAATGGAAACTTTGACCTCAGTGGCCATTTTTCTCCCCCTCCTCCCTGTGTAAACTGCCTTACTTTCAGTGAGCTGGTTTGTTAATGTAGGTCTAGAGCAAAGATTACAAAGGAGCCACACTTAGAAGGCGAAAGCTGAGAGCCAATGCTTTAAGGGGTATGCATGGGTGCTGTCACCTTGCACCCTCAATTTCCCACGTCTACCCAGTAAGGTCTATTAAAGTATCACATGATGGGGAAAAAGCATCTATCCCTAAGAAAGTTCAAGGTGCTGACCTTGATCCTGACCAATCTACTCCCATTGTTAATAGTGGTTGGATCCCAGCTGAAATTATTTTTTTCTTCATCACACATGACATGGCATGACTCACATTCAGTGCTTCTGTGTTCCAATTCATTGTAAGGGTGGGGGAATAGTGAATGCAATATGGCCACAAGTTTATTTTATCAAACATTGCCAAGTGCTTCTCTCAGCATTTAAGTTATATATGCTTTTTCTGTAAGGCAACATGGAAAGATTCCAAGCAATGGGGTGATTCACATGACAAGCCATTCTATACTTTTAAATTTTTATTAATACCTCTACTTTTCTTCTGAAGTTGAAACTAAAAGTTTTCTCTCCATCTTCATTTTATCCTTACAGCTACCATTCTATGAGACAGGTGGGTGGAGAGATCATGACAGGCCCAAAGTTGCCCAGCAAGCTTCCACAGCAGTAGTGTTGCCAACTCTGGAAATTTTGGGGGTAAAGACTGGGGAGGGAGCGTTTGGGGAGGGATCTCAGGAGGATATGATGCCACAGAGTCCACCCTCCAAAGCAGCAATTTTATCTCAGGGGGAATGGCCTCCACAGTCTGAAAGATCAGCTGAAACTCCAGAAGATCTCTAGGCCTCACCTGGAGGTTGGAAACTGCATAGCAGATCTTGGTGCAATATTATAATCAGTATACCACCCCTGGCTCTCTGTCTGAGATTGAAGGCTGAAATTTTACGGTGCCTCAATCATTATTTGTCATATCTGAAGCAACAAATATGGTTATCTCAGTATAGATGCTATCTGGACAATCTTTGCTGATATTCTGATCTACACTGAGAAGGCACAGGGTTTTAGTCTCTTTCTGTGGCTTCTCAGGGACAGGTAGCAAATGAAGCTTCTTAGAGGTATGACATGAAAGGTGTGGTTAAATATTTGTGTAATTTTAATGTATTTATGTTTTTATGGAAGCCGCCCTAAGCCCGCTTTGCGGGGAGGGCGGAGTATAAATCTGATAATAAATAATAAATAAATAAATAACGTATTATAAAATTTCTTCACATTACCCAGTTGACAGCTGTAGCACACCTGGAGTTCCTACATGTTCTAGCAGAGTTTTAGGGCTCCACATGGGACATAGAACCCCAATCTGATACAACAATAGTTCTGAAGAAGCTCACACCTTGCAGCATTGACTTCACAGGCTTTGTGTTTGCCCTTCCTGACTCCTGTTCTGAGCTTATGATGAAATTGTGACTTGTATAAAGCCATTCCATGACCCCACAACAGAAGCAGTCTCAAACTGAAGTCTAATCAATATCCACAGGGACAGATTCAAGCAAAAAAGAGCAACTGGGAAGACCTAAGTGAGATATCTGGCAAAAGAATGCCATCAAAGAACTGAATGTATGTCAGATGTTGAAAAAAGCTTAATAGAGCCATGCATGAAACCACAAATAGAAACAAAAATATAATGGCTGGTTTGTGAAGAATAACATACCTCTTTTCCCTGTAGGAATCCACATTTTGGAAGTTTGTGGAACAGAAAAAAAAGTCAAACTGTGAAAACAGTGATTAGAAGCCAGCAAGATATGGCTATTATCTTCTTATTGTTCAAGGTATTTCTCTATTTTCATTAACAGTCTCAGCTTACTTTCAAGGGTTAATATTTGTTGCAAATTAATACAGGTTTTCAGAAAATTATTAAGTTGGAATCCGGCCACTTTAAAATATTATTAGTAACAGGATTACAACTATTACTTACAACTCTATTTTTTATTATTTACAGAGAGGGAAAATGCTTAACAAAATGCATTTATGGAATTAAATATAAGAATGTAGCTCTTTGATCACAATTTATTTTCTGGAACTTCCCTGGACTTCTTTTCTTATTTGAAGTTCCACTTTAATGCACATCCTCAGAAGAAAAAAACTTGCATATACATATTATTAAGTAATTATTTACAGCGTAACACAGTGGTGATACTAGTACAGAATAATGCCCTTTGGGAATTCATTTCAAATCATTGAAGCAGGTGTTTCTGCTGTATAAAATAAAATATCCATAACAAGTTCACACATGACAGATGTAAGCTAAAATCTAGAACCGACAGTGTGAGGTAAAAGCAGATGTTTTGAATGATCATATTTATAGACACTATATCTTAGTTTACCACTTTGCCTACTTTCCCAGAAAATTATGAAGGGGTTTTTATTTTATAATATGAATTTCATTCCAAGAAGTTCCATGCATCACTGAAAACCTAGATGATCAGATTTTTAAAGATGCTAGTATTATTAATGGTTATTATAAAAATCAATTTGTTGATTTGGTAAAATAAAGGGAATTTTTAGTTCCTGTAAAATCTACTGTAGTACGTATCCTCAGCATGAGGTATTTAGAAATGTCTCCTGCATGGGCCTGACCAAAATAAACAGGACTTGTGCATGAATGCAGAGTGTCCCTACTCACTTCAACAGGCTTGCAAGAGGCGCCCTGAAGAATTGTGCCCACACTATGAAAAATAATTAATTAAACAGGAATTTTTCTTGGATCAGCTTTAGAGAAGGGCATTATTAAACAGAATTCCCCCTTTTGCTTTATAAAAATTTACGTATGAAACTGTCAGACACATGACCCTCCTGTTTTATTTTGCTTGGATTTGTAACTAGAGATAAGACTGGAAGAATAATTTCTATTAACCTGCGTTCTTCATGTGATTTCAGGACCCCTGGCTGGCAATAGCTCTGCCTTTCCCTTTATCTGGTTTATGATTTTGAAATGTTCAGACCTGAAGCTTATTCAAGGGGATCTAAGTACAGTTTTATTTCACTTCACTTTCTATAACCTTCAAAACTATTATGGCTCTGCAAATGTGAATTGCCTTTAACATATGTCAGAGGCTTTTACCATAATGTTTCTTGACAGAATTGCTTCACACCGAGCCTGTACAGGGTGGCTATCAAGCCTTATTGTACAGCTAATGCCGTTATCCTCACCTCTGAATGGTGCTCTTCGTTCTGCTGCAGGACTTCAATGCAGAGCTCTGCTAAATGAATAACCTCTTCCAGCTTTACCGAAGGAGGCGCTTGATTCAGTGTGTCTGTGGTGGAGGAAACACATAAACTAGGATGATGGCAGCTAGAAAAATACAGAATAGGAAATGAAACAATGCACAGACTAGATGTTTTCAAAAGGTTGACATCACTTAGCTCTCCAGGCATGCTTTTAATGCAAATTATTCTAACTGCTGTTATGATCAGACCAATATGTACATAAAGTATCTTACCCACCAAGAAAACAGAGGGCACAGTCAGCTCTTTCCTGATTAAATACGTGAGAACTAACAGGTGCATCTCTAGTGGCACATCAGATGTTCATCTTCGGCAACAAGCAAGTTCTACTCCTCTCCAAGGTCAGCTGCACAAACGGATCACAGGCCAGGGATTTGTTTTTCCCCCCTACTATGCTTAGGGTGATATTCATGATGGATTAATTACTGTGCTCAACAGGCAGAATTCATGCTTTCTCTTTGCAGCTGAATTCCAGGCATGTATAATCTAAATATAATAGGTTTCAATTTGTCTAAAAATTGAGAAAGGACAACGGTGCTATGCAATTAGCTGACCCTTTCATGCCTCTGTACTTCTCACAATGGAGGCCACAAGTTACCCAGCTAAAGCAGCAATTAACAATAAACATTAAAAATGAATAAGAAGGCACAAAAGAAAAACTGGCTTACTACAGGAAAACTAACTTCACCTTTAAAACACATGCAAGGACGATACACGCATCTTTCAGAAGGAAACCCCAAAAGAGAAATTAAATCCAGATGTATTTGCAGAAGACGCTTCTGAGGTGGGAAAAACATTAACATAATCGGTTGGAAAATGCAAACTGAAATTATTTAAAACTGACAAAAGTATGGCAATCCCCAGCTCATTCATTCTGCATTTTACATAGGCTACAAACCTAAAAAGAAACATATATGAAAGACTATTCTTATCACAATGTATGTGTACCAATCCAAACATGTACTGTACTAGAGTTTGGCAAGCTGAAGACTGCATTAGCTATCCTGAATTAGTCTGTGAAATTCTGTCCCCCTCACCTCTTCATACCACTTTTCCATAAACAGGATAGACACCTATCCTTGAGGCTGTTTTTCTTTATCACCTCTTCCTTTTGGCTTTTGATTTCTGTTGTTCTGTCTAAATCCCCTCACTTTGCTTTGCAGCACATAGATCTTCCTGAGTCCTCCATGAGGTTTTTCTCTGAGGCAAACTGCCCATTTGGATCCCATATAGCAACTGTACTGTTTGCCAGCAATCTATCACTCAGCCTCCTCCTCATCAAGAAAGCTTAATGTGGACATTCCTTGACATCACAGCAGTTCTGCTAGTATGTGTCTGTTTTATATGTGATATCCAGTTTTTGACTGTTTTAGTTTGCTGGGTTCCCAGAAACGAAAGCAAATTGCTTCACAAAACAATTAAAATGACAGGCATAATAACTAGGGGTATGTGTTCGGCTAAATGTCTTCTTGGGGAACTCACCATTTGGCAGTGTTTAAAGGGACTGAAAGCCCTTGAAATGCCTTTGGACTCTCGCCATGGAGTTGCATGGCTTGGAGAAGGCATTTAAAGGCACTGTGATCCCTTTAAATGCCTTCCCCTCTCCATTAAAAGCAATGGAGGATGGGGGCACCTTCTTTGGGGATGAGTAGAATTGGACCCCAGCCCAATATTTTTGAGACATGGGTTTGTTTGCTTTTTGAGGGGAGGCACCAGCAACTATGCTGTAACTTTGATACCTCTACCTCAAAAAACAGGGCCCCCCAGATACTCCCAGATTGATTCTCTATTATACACTATGGTGACCACTGATTATAATGGTTCCCACACGGTATACTGGAGCCAAAAAAATTCAGGTTTCCCAAATATTTCCTGAATCAAAATACTATACTAATATTAGGATTCAGGAATATCAGAAAATACCAATATTTTTTGGGTTCAATATACCTTAACCCGAAAAATACAGAGTATTTTTTGCACATCCCTAATTATAACATTTCCTTATTACAAAATGCATTTTTCCACAGTCAGACAAACATATTTTGATGCAGTGATTAAAAAGAGCTATTTCTAGCAGAAGGCTATCTGATCTTTGAAAATTTTAAAAATTGCCGCCTGAATGATATTTTTGAATTGATGGCAAGCACTATATACAAAACAAATTCCTAATTAGAGAAAGATAGCAGGATTGCAAATTAGCATGGGGAACCTTTTTTGCTCCTGTTTGATTTTCATTCAATAGCACAACAATCAGTGTCTGATAAAAATATATTTGTGAGTGGGCAACTCACTGATTCTGCCCTTTGTTCTTTCAGTGAAATGAACATGCGCTAAGAGCTTTAAATTACAAAGAAAGCCCTCTCCACATGTACAAATGGCTTTACTCTGCCTTCAGTTCAATAGTGCTTGTAGTGCTCTTGTTTTCCTTCAGATAAGTCCTTGTGAGCTTGGAGGGCATTTACATGTAGCCATTCTTTTTAGTAGAAAACTTGCCTGCAAAAGACCTCATTAGAAGAGGTTTCAGCTTTTGAGCAACTGGTCAGGACAGAAGTCTCTCATTGTTCTTTTTCCTGGCCATAGTCCACTCTTTCTTTGATTATTACGAAAGCTGTTCTTTTTCTCCTAAAAGAAGTAAATTTGCACCACTGTACCCATTTACCCAGCCTGTTCCACTATCCCATAATAACCTTTCACTATCATATTGGGGGGGGGGATCAAACTTAGAATTTGGGGGCAGGGGAGGACACACATGTAACAGAGGCTGGAAAATGCGGGGGGGGGAGTGGCATGGCTATTTGCGCCGGTGCAATTAGACCCGCCATAACGCGATCATACGTGTCGGAGGCACACCATGGTTCCGTCCCTTGGCATGTGCGCTTCAACAAAGACAGAGGGAAAAGCCGCGCTGGCGTGATCACATGGACAGAGTCCATTGGCAGCCCATGGCAAACCATTTGCCAGTACTTTTGGTCAGGTACTTTTTAACCGCGCATTTTCGGCGGGACGCCATGGGTGCGCTACGCCCGCCAGATGTTGCAGTATGATCGCGTCTGGAAAATCTGCCCAACATTCGTGGCTCTCTCGCGGCAAATTCGGTGTGTGAATGGGGCCAGATATGGGAAAATAAAGACAGGCTGCGATCGCACACACTAAATAATCCACTTTCAATCTACTTTCCAACTGGATTTTTCTGTGTGAACTGGCAAAATCCAATTTGAAAGTACATCGGAAGTGGGTTATTTAGTGTGTTTGATCACAGCCACAGTGGGAGACAAAAGTGAAACAACATGGTAAAAGTCCTGGTGCAAGCACTTGTTTAAAAACACTGGTATTAAATCTAAAACTGATATTAAATCTGCTATATCTCTTTGGGACATGCTGCATTCGTTGACCCCTTTGATATGGGAGCTCACACAGCTCTCCCATATGCAGAGTACAGCACAGGCACACCCACCCACCTTCCCAATAACTTCAATAGATGCCTACATTCTTTTTTATAGCAGAATCAATGTCGTGGATCTAAGTTTCCTCCAACCTAAATACCTGTCTTTCAACTTAAGTGGCTTTTCCTTTGGAGGAAGCGCCACTTAAGGTGGAGGAAGACTTCTTAGGCTGAAGGAAGGCTTCAAACATTGCTCAGTGGAGTGGTGCAATAGGGGTAGGATCCACCCCAACTTCTCTATTGAAACGAGCAGAGCCCTTGCTACATAAAACCTCACACAGAACCCTGGAACCAGTATCCTGATGTCCAAATGACAGAAGGGATCCTCAATGTACTTGTTTGTCTTAAATCACTGTATGGCAAGTTCTACTTGAATAGCTATAACTCATGTGCAATAGCCAAACTTTTAGCAAACGTGTACATTCTAACAATGACATTTGCCCTTCATGCACAGGGTAACCAACAAGAGTTTGAAAATTAATGACAAGCACATACAACATATTGTTATTGTATGTACAAGACTTGAAATCACAAACCCATATACCTTGACATATTTTCCACTGAATAAGCAGCAATGACTTCTAAGTGAATGTTTCCAGAACTGTTGTCTATAATATGCCACTAAAATGATCTCTTTTCTCAGTCTTCTCTCATGTCTAACAGCTGAACCACCCAGTCTTAGTCACTTTCAGCAGTAATGATAAATTATCCTTTTCCCTTTCGTTACTTAAATTCTCCTTAAAAGTACCATTATTTCTATTTCTCAGTGACAGAAAGGGCAACTCTGATGAAAATCAGCGCCTATTTTAAGCTTTGATTGATTTGAGCAGCAAGTATTTCTGAAGAGAGAAAAAAGTAACAAAACATTAAAACTCGGTATTGAGGTTCTATTCCTGCCCTATACCAGGAGCATACTCAAATTTATAACTGGTAACCAAGGCTCCACCTACCTTTTGCCCCCCCCCCCCAGATTTCAACAGTGATTGAGTTGACTTGAAATGGACATTTCTGACAAGTGTTGTACAAATTTAACAAATACTCTTAACTTAAAGCAATAAGGACAGGGGGGAAAAAGATACATTAAGAGGTGCATGTCCACACATGGTTACACAAAGCCCAAATGTTATACATTGTGGGTCATCAGTATGTGGCAGATACAGGAGATTGTGGCGGAAAGTCCGATGAGGCTTTCTGCTACACAGCCAGAAGCAGTTTAGAGGCACAAATAGCTTGTCTCTCAACCAAAACATCTCCCGCTGACAGCAGTTTTCTATCCCAGAGAGGAGATATCTAAAGTATGTCACCTGAAAGTGCAGGTCTCAGTTCATATGTAATAAATACGGAGATAGTTTCAAGTTTATCCTGCAAAGCAGGGGACATGGAAGTATAATGCCCCCAAGCCAGTAGATTCTCAAAGGCCAACAACTAGTGTTTTCATTGAAATAGTCACTCCTGAATTTGACACCAAGCCATCAATTCCATCCCCATTAAACCCATTAAAAGTAAACCTTTACTCCTAAGAAACTAGTCTTCAAAATGCAGAAATATGAGTTCAACCCCTAGCCTAGAAGATACCACCAAAACTGA